GTATAATAAATTCATAATATCGCTACCTATTCAAATCAAAACAAGTATTAGGTACTTCATGTACTAGTATATAAATTCATCAACACACAAGTAAATGATTTTTAAATATATTCAGAGCCAAAAAATCTTTGTGCATTTAAAAAAATTGCCGATACGGATTCACTATTGCAGGAAATTGTTGAAAAAATATATATCGCGTATAGGTATCTACTACTATCGACGAATACATTTGGCAACAACGCGCAACATATGCGATGTTGCCGTTCCGGCCGAGACCATGCCGGAACGGCAACATCGCATATTAGAATACAAAGATAGTGATAGAAAGAGAGAGACAGTGGAATCAGCAATATCTACGGATCGTGGCTGGATCAACTAAGTGTGCAAGTTTATATAAATGTATATATATATATATATATACATTTGTCTTTAATTCAAAGGAAATATAAATAATGAACGCATCACATTTAAAACAGTATAAATAGTTAATAATTTAATAATAAGTTAATAGTTTAATAAGTACGTACGTAATATTATCACATGGTAACAGCACGTATTATGGCAAAAATAAACATCGGCTGATTTGAAAAGATTTATTATAGTAATAATAGTAATCTCAGGACAATTCACACAGCTTCATCTAGACCCAAGTTAAGCTAGCTGAAGATTATGTTATGGGTACTAGACAACTGATATAAATACAAAGATTTTTTTTTCGTAAATACATATATATTATCTATACATAGAAAACACCCAGACCGTTACAAACAATCATACTCATGAATACAAATGTTTGCAGCGTGCGAGGAATCGAAGCCTCGACCACCAAGCAGGAATCAAAGCAGTGTGCTAGCTAAATCGCTAGACTAGCGATTTAGCGGGAACAGCTACTGTTCCCGCGACTTCGTCCACGTGGTTTTTAACTTTATTTTTCTAAAATAAAAGTAGCCTAAGTTACTAGGTAGTAGCCTTATTACATCAGCTACCTGCCAAAAAAAGTCCCGTCAAAATCGGTCCAGCCATTTCAGAGATTAGCCGGAACAAACAGACAGACGGACAAAAATTGTAAAATATGTTATTTTGGTGTATGTACCGTATTTATATTCATATGCAAGTAGTAAAAAACGGTTATTTCAATATTACAAACAACAGGCTTCAACATTCTCAAGTACCACAAAAAAGATGTTTTTATTAAAAACAAGCTGTTCCCGCGACTTCGTCCGCGTGGAATTAAACTTTATTTTTCTAAAATAAAAGTAACCTAAGTTACTCCTTATAAATCAGCTACCTGCCAAAAAGAAGTACCGTCAAAATCGGTCCAGCCATTTCAGAGATTAGCCGGAACAAACAGACCGACAGACAGACAGACTAAAATTATAAAAATTGTTATTTTGGTATATGTACCTTATATATATTCATATGCATGTAGTAAAAAACGGTTATTTCAATATTACAAACAGACACTCCAATTTTATTTGTATGTATAGATGTATAGATTATTATTTATTTATTTATTTATTCATCCAAAATAATACAAATTGTGTAGGATAACGTAATAGTAACATTACAGTAAAATTTTGTCAACAACATAATAGCAACTTAAATATTAAATCTCGGTATATCTATAGACTAGCTGGCCCCAGCGACTTCGTCCGCGTGAAATTTTATTTTATTTTTCTAAAATAACAGTAGCGTAAGTTACTCCTTATTACATCAGCTACTTGCCAAAAAAAGTCCCGTCAAAATCGGTCCAGCTATTTCAGAGATTAGCCGGAACAAACAGACAGACAGACAGACAAAACTTGTAAAATATGTTATTTTGGTGTATGTACCGGATTTATATTCATATGCAAGTAGTAAAAACGGTTATTTCAATATTACAAACAGACACTCCAATTTTATTTACATGTATAGATGTATAGATTAAAAAAAAAGTAACAGTCATAAGGCTAGTCGTATGCCTAATATATATAATAATGTAATAAATTCATTTAAACAGAAATTGCGGCAACATTATTTAAATTTGTAACTTTTTTACTGTCCTTCTCCATTTTTCACATCTTTCTGTTATATCCCTATAGTTCTCTCTATATTTTCTGTTTTTCTTACTTTCAATTTGAGACTGTACTTATAATTTGATTATCAGATCATTATGTATTTATTAGATATTAACTATTATATTATGCATAAAAAATATTTGTAATAATAAAGAAAATACATTTAAAATGTTTTACTTGTTGTGTTAGTTATTTATAAGATCTTACTATAATTGTTAGCTGCTTTACAATTTAGAAAGTACAATAGGTAATGTAAATTAAAATTAATTGAATACTTAACAACGTTTTGTTCGATTAAATTCATTTAATTATTAAAATAGTTAATTTAAAATTAGAATAAAGACAAAAAAAAATAACAAAAAAAAATCGGTGGCGGGAATCGAACCTTGAGCGTCCGTTTGGTAAGTTGATTCAAAGGCTTATTAAAATCAAAATTAAAAATTCAAAGGCTTATTTCTTCGAAATTACTGGTCATTTTGAAATAATACTTAGGGTTCGCATACCCTTATCGGATACTACTACTACACGGAGTTTCGTCAAAATAAAATATCTAGGTTAGGTATAATAAATTCATTGTTAATAGACCGTTACGGTATCTGTATATATTCGGATCAAAACAAGTACTATGAAATAAGAACGAGTATATAAATTGATTAACACAAGTAATTGATTTTTGAAATATATTCAGAGCCAAAAAGTCGTCTTTCTTTATTTATGTACTTGTTAGATGCGACAGCGACTTTGTTTTATACTATACTATACTATACTATGTAATGATTGATATACCTAAAATAAATAAAATATCTGAGGTTTGGACAAAAACTCAAAGGGTAATTTATTTTGATAAAGTATTTTGAATACCTATTTTGCTTTTAGTGTTATAGTACTTTAACTGTTATATTTTAAGTAACAATGTTTAATTATAATTAATACTACTGCACCAACACTCCGATCGTGCAAAAAAATTTGCTGTTTCATTATTTTTTAGTTCAATTAGTGGTCTACCTAAGTCCTGGGCTAAGGGGGAGAGTCATGACGCCCCCATGACTCCCATGACCTCCATGACGCTCCCCCCTGGATCCGCCGTTGCGTCTTCTCTTTATTCGCTCAGTAACGTTGTTACAAAAGAAAAGATTCCCGTCCAAAAAATAATAAGTATTGAGGTTTGATCTGGAGTCACGTTACTCCAGACTGATTTCTATAAATATTTAGATTAGATAGACTATTATTCTTGAAATACTAGCTAGACATTATTAAGTTACTGTAGCCATAATGTAGTAGCCCAAACGTGCCAATGAGGAAGCCCTTGGCAAATGCTGCACCCTGATTGGCCCGTTTGAATTGGATCAAGAACTGCTCGTATGCCAAAAAGGTGGATTTGTATAAAATCGTGTATAAGTTGCTTAATTATTATTATTACTCGTCGTGACAGTTGTGGCTCAAAACGGATCAACATTTATATATGGTCAGCTGGCATTAGATCAACAAAAGGCCTCCGGATCAACAAGTGAAAATGGATCAACAAAAAACTACCTATACGGCACGTCTGAGCCACAAAGTGCCCAAGGGGATATTTATATATATATATATATATATATATATATATATATAAGAAAAAAAAATCCACTCTAACAACTATAGCAAAAAAATTTGAATATAAAACGTTAGCAGTATCAAATTATGCCTCGCTCTGATGTAATTTATAATAAAACATATTTTATTTCGAGCTATTGTAATGTCTGACCTTTACAACTTCACCGAACGAAAAGGGCGAGTGCAGATGGCACTCCAAACCAAAGTAAGGACTTGTGGAGCGGCTGAAGATCAACTCCCGCCTGACGGATACAACTTTAGTCTGAGGGCACCGCTAGATGTTCCAACCTCGGCTCAGGCTGTCGTAATTTTGGTTATTAGTATAGTTCGTTACTGCAGAATAGGACTTGATTGAAATTGAAACTTGAAACGAACTATGGTTTTAGTGAAACAAATAAAAACCACATCAAAAAAACTAGCTGACGACCTTGTAGAGTGTAATCTACCGTAACACGTTTTTATTGATTTTGCCATGCAGAAGAGGAAACGCTACATATACTATGGTTGTAGCCCACTCATGCATACACAAAATATCTCCTTTGGAAAGTATACACTCCATCCTGAGGAGATAAAACCATCGCTTCTAAGAATATCCTTCAATTCTTGTCCCTGACGGGTCTAGGTAGCGAACTCTGAAAAGGAGCGAGCACAATAGATCTATGTAGGTCACAGTATTTGTTACAGGTCTTAAAAACTTACAATAGTCCAAAACCATCAACAAAAAAACTTGTTTTGATACTACTATATTAAAAACCAGTTCGTAGTTACATCTGAGAACTAATTAAATGCTAACAATTCGAACAATTAGATACTACATTGTTATAACGAACTACATAGCTCTAGTTAATAATTACATAACATCGTATTACAAAAAAATTATAGTACAGACAGATTAATATCTAAATTAAAAACATTTATTACAGCACAGATCACAATATAACCTTAATTATATATAGTTCATAATAATTATTACATTATAACGAATTAAAATCTCTAATTTTGCAATTATGTATCTACTTATAAGCTATTTAACAGTTGCAATACCAAAATGGTTCATAGAAAATAGCAAACTAAAACCACAGCAAATTAAAACCACAGAGTAAATAATTTTTTTACATTTTTATCACATTTCTAAGAACAGGAATTCAACTACAAAATTCTTATTCTTAGGAATTACTAACTTCAGTTTCGTCATCCTTTAATGTCACTAGATCACTAGAGCATTTCGTTACGTTTTTGCTCTCAATTACTTCCCAATGTTTTCATTTTCATTGTAAATTTTAGTATCGCTTGTGTTACCACAGAGTAAAGACGTGTGTTAAGTGAGTCAAAATATTCTTGTTTATATTTTTTTATTTTCCTATTTTATGTAAGGAAATAAGTATATAATTATTGTTTTCCTGTGAAATTGTATTGGAATTAGTTTTTCATTGTACTTGCTAGTTTATTAACAAAGAAATGTGGTTCTGTTTTCTTAATTAGTGATTTATATTGGCGGTTGCTTGGCGATTTTCGTGTCACTTTTTGCCGGTTTGCCGGCGCCGACGCGTGGGTTTTAAAACATTTATCAGTGTCCTTTCATGTTTTATTTGTTCTAAATATTAGTTTCAGGGTTACACGGAATTTACTCCAAAATACACTATTTGCAATTTATAACGCGATATTTTTATACATATATAAATTTATACCTACATTATAACTTTATTTTTGACAACGTACCTAAATCTATATACAAACGTAAATGTTAATCTATGTAAATAAATAAATTATTGACAAATTACCTTAACCATATTTGTTAAGTAAACCTTATTTTACTTCTTACTATTATAAACGCGAAAGTTAGTTACTATTTTACGCAAAAACTGCTGAACTGAATTTGATGAAATTTACGTAATATAGCGTACATTAGAATGACCACCATGGCGATCACAGATAACATATATTATTATAATTATGTACAAGTTAAACATAATTATTGAATTCATCATTTATATACCAATTACGCATTGTTTATATACATTTGACAAATATTTTTAATAATATATTTGCATTTAACAAAATATCTATTTAAACATTATTTATGAATTACAAGCTACTCGCACGGATGTACATGTATTATACATTTAAACCTTCTTCTAGAACCACTCTATCTATTAAAAAAACCGCTTCAAAATCCGTTGCGTAGTTTTAAAGATTTAGTCATACATAGGGACGGACAGACAGCGACAGCGACTTTATTTTATACTATGTAATGATTATACTTACGTACAAGTTAAACATAATTAGTTAATTCATTATTTATATACTTATTACGCATTGTTTATATACAATAACATTTAACAAATTATATATTTAAATTATGAATTATGTCAGATAACGTATTTCAATATTGTATACTTATTAATTACTAGCTGTACCCGCGACTTCGTCCGCGTGGAATTTAACTTTCATTTTCTAAAATAAAAGTAACCTAAGTTACTCCTTATTACATCAGCTACCCGCCAATAAAAGTCCCGTCAAAATCGGTCTAGCCATTTCAGAGATTAGCCGGAACAAACAGGCAGACAGCCAAAAATTGTAAAAAATGTTATTTTGGTGTATGTACCGTATTTATATTCGTATGCATGTAGTAAAAGACGGTTATTTCAATATTACAAACAGACACTCCAATTTTATTTATATGTATAAAGTATAGATTATTGAGCATCATAGTACAGAGTAAAACTATAGTAAATTTAAAAATTAATATTTCGCTATGAGCTGAAAGGACCTCTCCACTAAGGTAGTGCCGCAGCGTGTCTCTGCAGCGCTGACTTTCAGTTTCAGTTCAGTTTTATTTATATGTATAGACTAGCTTTTGCCCGCGGCTTCGCTCGCGTAGTAAGTATTATTATTAATTAGGTGTAGTTTTTGCGGCTTTACTTTTGTTTAGCGTGTGTAAAAAATTAGGGCCTACAAAATCTAAGAAGATTTATACATACTTTCATCCCCTATTTTATCTCCTTAGGGGTGGAATTTATAAAAATCCTTTCGTAGGGGATGCATACGTCATAGTAGCTTTATGCATGCAAAGTCTCAGCCCGATCGGTTTAAAATTGACAAAGTTTCATACAAACTTTCATCCCTTATTTTATCCCCTTGGGGGTAGAATTAATCAAAATCCTTTCTTAGCAGATATTACCAGCTTTTGCCCGCGACTTCGCTCGCGTAAAATTTATCCTCTTAGGGGTGGAATTTTTCAAAATCCTTTCATAGCGGATGCCTACGTCAAAACATCTACCTGCATGCCAAATTTCAGCCCGATCCGGTCAGTGGTTTGGGCTGTGCGTTGATAGATCACTATGTCAGTCACCTTTGAGTTATATATATTTAGATGTATATTTAAATATGTGTATTTAATAATAACATATAATTTGTATGTACACAGATAATGCCTGAGGTACACGCAGCGTTTGAGAACTCTGGAAGGAGTCCCGGACTCGAAGTGTGGAGAATTGAGGTAACTAAACTTTACGTATCCATATCTTATCTTATTACATATATATTATACTAGCTGTTCCCGCGACTTCGTCCGCGTAGAATTTAACTTTATTCTTCTAAAATAAAAGTAGCCTAAGTTACTGCTTATTACATCAGCTACCTGCCAATAAAAGTCCCAGAATTGGTCCAGCCATTTCAGAGATTAGCCGGAACAAACAGACCGACAGACAGACAGACAAAAATTGTAAAAATACCGTATTTATATTAATATGCATGTAGTAAAAGACGGTTATTTCGATACTACAAACAGACACTCCAATTTTATTACACTATATAATGATAAGTAAGGAGTAAGGATTGTTGGATGTGTAATTGTCATTTTTTTTTGTAATTATTACAAATTCTTTACGTCATTGTTCTCCCGAAATAAAGTTGATTTATCATGTATATAAACACATCTGACATTTGTTGTGCGTTACATCGGATTTTATAGTCGGAGAGGATGTAATAAACGGTTTTATTACCACCGTATGTAGCGACCTCGGTAGTTCAGCGGTTTAGCACGCCGCTTTATGTACGGTAGTCGCGGGTTCGATTCCTCGCACGGTACAAACGTTTGATTTTATTTATTTATTTAATTAACACAATATAAACTTAGCTAATTGCAACACGTTTATATTTTAAAACTATTATACTTTACTATATATACTACTTAGAATAAACTTACATTGAAGCACTTTTGAATAGTCATCACATTTTTTTTAATCTACCGCTCATTCGGAAGCTGTCTCATCACAAGAAGAACGAGCAAGAAACTTGCGTGTTGCTCTTTTAAATAATTTTATTATTACTTTACATTTTTTTAAGTGTGTGAATACACACCACCAATTAACATTAATTCAATTAAATACTCAAATAGAAAAAAATATTGAATATATAACCAACTGGTAAAAACTAAATAAGAGGAAATCATTAAGTTAAATATAGTTATATCTCTATATAGAACATGTATTATTTTGAAATAACACAAAAATGGTTGAAATAAACGTAACAATACGTAGACTCGTCGTCTACGTAGGTATTTTAAAACTTTCAAGTCTTAAAGAGTCTAGTATTGAATTACTTTCAATTTTAGAGAAAATCAGATTTAATTAACGGACCCAGTCTAACAGTGACGAAAGTAATATAAACGCATCTTTTTACTACTCTAATGCTGTCACCAGCAGCTGGCCTTTACAGCTTCACCGGACGATAGGAGCGAGTGCAGATGACACTCCAAACCTAAAGAAGTACTTATGGAGCGGCTGAAGGCCAACTCCCGCCTGACGGATACGACGCCAGTCTGAGGGCACCGCTAGGGGTTCGAACCTCAGCTCAGGCCGTCGTAATTTCGGTCCCTATTTGAATTGGACGGGGGATCGATCGGACGGGGGTAGAAATATCGTATTTTCGTCTGAAACTATGGCGTTTATACACCTCTCCGGTAGATCTAGTCTATATATCCGCCATTTTCAAACACATCATGTGACCATGGGAAATGCAATGAAACATAACATTTATAGATTGACCGTAAACTTGTGTGACCTTGGATTTAACTGTAAATCCGTTGTTTTGAACTTCAATGAATAGAATAGAGTTTGTTGACTCAAAATTTATTTATTGAACAAAATATCTTTATTCATGTAGGTCTATTACAGACTCTTATGATATGTCAAATGTACCGTCAGTTCGGAATGATTTCCAGCTAAGAACTGACAAGAAATTGAGCTCGTATTCTTTTCAAACGAGCTTGTACATGTTTATTAAAATACAGATTCATTTTTAAATTCATACTAGCGGACCCGGCCACGCGTTGCTGTGGTTAAGGCAATAAAATAATATTGCGACTATAAATTGAGATGTAAGCTATCCTATCTTTCAAGTTGGATCAAATTGCACACAATGTGCAAATCAAATTTGCAATCGGTTCAGTAGTTTAGGAAGCCACCAAACAACATGACACGTAATTTATATATATATGTATATATATAACTAGCTATCCCGGCAAAAGTTGTTTAGCCTTAAAATAAAAAAATAAAAATTAGGGGTGGACTACTACCTACCTAACATTTAGGGAGATGAAAAATAGATGTTGGCCGATTCTCAGACCTACTCAATACGCTCACAAAATTTGATGAGAATCGGTCAAGCCGTTTCGGAGGAGTATGGGAACGAAAACAGTGACACGAGAATTTTATATATAAGACAAGCTACTCACCCCGTCTTCACACGGGTGTACATGTATTATACATATAAACCTTCCTCTAGAATCACTATCTATTAAAAAAAACCGCTTCAAAATCCGTTGCGTAGTTTTAAAGATTTAAGCATACTTAGGGACGGACAGACAGCGACAGCGACTTTGTTTTATACTATGTAATGAATATTACGGAAGTTAGAGTGACCAGCAGCATATGCTATTGCAATTTTGTCAGGAAATAGTCTAATCATTGACCGTAATCAGGACGGACCAGTCCGCACTGTTGTAGTTTTATTTTATACTAGCTGTTCCCACGTTGAACAGCTAGCGACTTCGTCCGCGTGGAGTTTTACTTTATTTTTCTAAAATAAAAGTAGCCTAAGTTACTCCTTATTACATCAGCTACCTGCCAAAATAGTCACGTCAAAATCGGTCCAGCCGTTTCAGAGATTAACCGGAACAAACAGTTAACAGACAGACAAAAATTGTAAAACATGTTATTTTGTGTACCGTATTATGTATGTACCGTATTTATATTCATATGCATGTAGTAAAAAACGGTTATTTCAATATTACAAACAGACACTCTCACAATTTTATTTATACGTATAGACTATGTGACCCACGCAACTTCATCTGTACCACACTTATTCGACATTTATCATTATATCTCGACCAATTAACATAATATCGTTTTAAATTATATCCTATGTGTTATTCTGATGTATAAGCTGTATTACTGCAAAGTTTCATCAAAATCCCTTCAGTAGTTTTTGCGTGAAAGAGTGACAAACATCCAGCCATACCCACAAAATTTCGCGTTTATAATATTACTAGCCTTTGCCCGCGGCTTCGCTCGCGTAAAATTTATCCTCTTAGGGGTGGAATTTATCAAAATCCTTTCTTAGCGGATGCCTACGTCATAACATCTACCTGCATACCAAATTTCAGCTCGATCCGTCCATTGGTTTGGGCTGTGCGTTGATAGATCACTATGTCAGTCACCTTTGAGTTATATTTAGATTAACATGTATATAGAAAAATGAAAATACTAGAAATACTGAGATTTTTATATATTTTATATTTCTAATATATAAATTTGTAATCCAATATAATTGTTGAGGTACTTTTTGAGTTAATCCATTATTTCAAGTCGTTTGTGGCCCGGGACCCCACCAATATGCTGCCCACCTTCATGAAGGAGGACTACTGGCCGAAGGGTGTGGTGTACCAGCGCTACCGTGGCAGATTGCCGCCGGCAGTGCCGTGATCACACAGACAATTTCAATATCTTAATTTTATACTATTTCATATGTATGTTAGTCTGTAAGGTATTTATAATATGGGCCTAGTAGCTTGAAGTAAATAAATAAATAAAAGATAAATAAATTAAACACACAACATACAAAAAATAAAACCTATTTATAATCCAATACAATATAGTAATCCAAGCTCAGATACTTTTCGAGTTAATCCATTATAAACAAAGATACAAATAGTTAAACATTCACTCTTTATATTTGTTTAAATGCGCAGACAGATATTGTTTTCTTACGAATTCATTATGTTTCGGTAAAATTTATTACGTTTCTAGTAGATTCTATCACCTCCCACAGAAAACAGGGTTCAACAACTAGGGTTGTCTATTTAATACGAAATCTTACTAATGTTATAAACGCCAAAGTTTGTGAGTATGGATGTTTGTTAATCTTTCACGCAAAAACTACTAAATGGATTTCGAAGAAACTTTACAGCATTATACCTTAAACATATGCATATACAATATTTATAATATTACTAGCTATGCGCCCCGGTTTCGCACGTGAGTACATGTATTATATATATAAACCTTCCTCTAGAACAGTGTAGGCGAACCTTTATGCATCAACGGGCCATTTTATCCAAAAAACGTTTAATGGGGTCATTGACGTACCATCAAATAATATTGACTTTCTGATTATTTTGAAAATAATAATAAATACTATCAAAACTCTCTATGAAATAAAGTAAACAAAAGAGGTACATTTTGGATTGTTTTCATTACACGCATAAATTAAATTACTGTAAAATTAGTGTGACTTCTGTTGCTGCAGGTTAGATGACAAATAATTTATGTCAGGCTTGTACGATGTTACTTTTAGCAAAATGCATGCTGAACTGGATTCATCTGTCAAACGGTTTCTAACCGAGTTTTTAATGTTATTCAACTCTGAAAATGACTCGCAGGCATGGGTAGGTGAAAATATTGTTAAAATAGCATGAGCCAGTTTCTTCAAAACAGTTGTATGATCGACGGCGTGCCCAAAATATTGTCGCGTGCAATTGGTTTGCCTACCCTGCTCTAGGATCACTCCATCTATTAAAAAACCGCTTCTAAATCCGTTGGGCATAAAGATTTAAGCATACATGGGGACAGACAGCGACTTTGTTTTATACTATGTTATGATTATGATATATCACGATTGAGAACCCTGAGTTAGCCGTAGCAGTCTATTTTAGGTTCATGATGCACTGTCCCTGAATATACCAGCTGAATTATGTTTTCTGCTGTCTTTGTGTTTATTTAGAATAACGGTCTGAATCTCTGTTTGGACAGTTCAACAATTATTGACTCATTCTATCTACATATTTATAGACTAGCTGTCCCGTTTTTCTTTCTTTTGAAACTGTCTATATTCCTTCTGGCATAGATGATATTTTCATAGATGTATTGAGAAGCAACGGTGAGGATATTTGATTGCTTAAAACACTCTCGCAATGACTCCCTGGAACCCATACCA